AAAATTTCACCGATTAATGATGATTTTACCTGAATGTTTGTGGTAACAGAATTTTCTGTAATTGTTGAAAGTGAAATTGGTCGATATTTTTTTCGACATCGTCATGTTCATGATGTTTCATATACCTTTGCAATGATTAGATGATATTTGCATATTGTGAATATATTTTGGATATAAAAATTTATTCTGCAATTAAAAAATTAGAACAGATTTAATTCATCATGTAAGTAAATTCATCTAATCTACAATGATTCAAATAATTATTCAGTTCCAAAGATCATTCTATCTGAAAAGCATTTGTCATATATACATCAATCATCGATCTATGAATAACTCATTCAGCTGACAATCACAATTACGATCATTCAATATTTGCAATTAAATTGTCGAGTGATTAAAAATTTTTCCGACAAATCCCTAGTATGCTTCCTGATATTCTCGTAGAGCTTATCCTCGTTTTCGTTTTGATATATTAATAAGTGTGTGTTGAGTTTTTTTACCTTTTGGATTTTATATTTTTAGTTTGTCTTTTATTTTTTTAATGCTGTGCTTATTTAGTTTAATTATGAATAATATTTTGAAAAGATATAGGTTGTTTTAGGCGATTATATTGTTATCTATTATTTGATTTTGGTTAGCATTTTATTTGTTTTATATGGAATTATGTAAATTTAATTTTTTTGGATTTTTATTTTTATTTGTGAATTTTTTGGTTGATGGTTTTTCTCATGAGGGATTTCAGTCTAGTGTGTTTTTTAAATTTATTATTTTTTTTCTTGTTGGATTTTGAATGTGTGGATTATTATTTCCTTTATTTAGGCCTTGGGCTTGCAATTGGTTTTTGTTTTTGTTACTAATTTTTCTTGACTTGGTGTTCGTACTTTTACCTTAGGTATTGATAGGTTTTTGGTTTTTTATTTTGATGGTGATCATTCTTGAGAATGAATTTCTAGTTTGGTTATATTTTTTCTCATTGGTTGAGATTTTTGATGAGTGGAGTAGTTTTGACCTTACGTATTAGTTATTATTTTTTTGATGTTTACTATTTTGGATTTTAATATAGTTTATTCTTTATTTTTCTTTTTTGATTTTTGTTATTGCTATTGAATTGTTCTTTGCTTTTTTACAAAGTCATATTTTTTTAAACTTTGATTTGTATGTTTTTATTAAATATGATTTGATTTAGTTATAATAGTTTATATTTAGAATTTTGTTTTGATGAGACATAGGTTTTATAATTTTTTTTTTTTTT